TCTCATATACAAACCAAAGCCAATCTCCATTTGGTTGATTTTCCCAGAGGCACAGCCACACATTGAGGCCTCATCCCCATATGGAAACACTCCACTTCTCAAATTCCCAAACCCAATTTTCTATCTTTCTCTCACTTCTTCACTTTTCTAAATCTGAAATTAGCTGTTTATGGAGAGAGGTAAGATGGAGGTGCCACCTGAGGAGTATAGGTTGGCCACTCTTAGTCCTCAGTTTGGGGGACAACAGTCAGGCCTCTACTGGGTCTCCATAGTTCAGAATAGAGCCCTCCACTCTGCAGACCTGGATTTGTCTTTCAATGCACCCTAGGAGAGCAGACTCAGAAAGCTTCATACACAAAATACTGATGCATAAACCAGATACCCACCTATAAATTAACAATGAGAAATAAAACTGTAAGACTATGAACATAACTTACTTCATCTTGAAGCCTTTTCCACTTGCTATGTCCTTTGTGTGAACTCCGCCCACAAAAGTTATACAGTAACTAGTGGTAAGATAGTTACAATAACACGTAGAAACAGCTTTCTGACTACAAAGAAGTAATTTAATGATTAAGCACTGATATGGCAACAGCCGGTCTAGCTACCTGCACCACAAGACCACCAAAAATAGTAATCATTGTCCTAAGACATTTGGAGTTAGTGATGGTAGCTTGTTTCTTAGTTAGTAATTGCTTCTTGGCTTTTTCCCCTCCTTTGTGTGAAGTGCCTACATAAATTTGGGCTCAATCAGGAGGTGGCATGGAGAAACCTTGTATATACCTCGGGGTCATCGCCCACCTGATCCATCATCCTGTATGTAAGTTACCCTAATAAAATTCTTTGCTTTACCACATGGAATTGCCTATTTCATTTTTCAGTCTCAAGATACCTTTTCAGTTGGTAGACATTTTGCCTTTAGTCTACCATCAGACAACTTGTAAAGGACCATAGTGCATAGGTGGAAATCTACATAGGAAGCCACATAAAACTCTGAAAATTGTTTAGTAGGCTTGCAAACATGGCAGGAAGATCTGGTTAGATGAATGATTCTTAAATAATGGCTCCTGGCCTGAACTAGGCTAGCTGCATAAGAATAAACTGGGAAATTTGTTAAAAATACTAATATCCAGGTCCCACCTCAGACCTCTCAGAATCAGAATCTCTGGTGGAGGGGGAAGGGATATGTATTTTTAACAAGTGCCCCAGGTGATTCTGATGCCCAGCCAGGCCTGGAAACCACTGTTAAGAATTCTTAATGACAAAGTAAGTTATCTCACTCTCAATGGTCTAAAGGTCCAGCTTACCAAGCAGATCAACATGTGTGTCAAGCAGCAAGATTAAAGATACATCACCAGTTCTTGCTCTGACTTTTATTTCCTTGATTATCCCTCCACTTCCCTCAACTTCTCAGAGAGCAGACAGGACAGGTATATTACAATTGACTAGATACGCTTTTCTGAGTTAAAAACCACCTTTCTGTTATGGTTATCAGACTGATTCTAGTTACCATGCCTGGGCCTGATTTTGCCCAAATTACCTAAATCAGAGTTTACAGCAATCTCTTGTGATAGCAATATCACTTAATTCTTTGAACTTATCTGCCAAAAATCACATTGTGATTAGTAAAAAAAAAAAAAAAATTTTTAAGACTATTAAATAATCTATCAGCTGGCTGACAGCCTGATTAAGTCTTTTTAAAATTTTGTTGAGGGCCGGCCCGTGGCTTACCGGGGAGAGTGTGGTGCTGATAACACCAAGGCTACAGGTTCGGATCCCTATTATAGGATGGCCAGTTAGCTCACTTGGGAGTGCATGGTGCTGACAACACCAAGTCAAGGGTTAAGATCCCCTTACCAGTCATCATTTAAAAAATAAAAATAAGGGGCCGGCCCGGTGGCGCACTCGGTAGAGTGCAGCGCTTGGGAGCGCGGCGGCGCTCCCGCCGAGGGTTCGGATCCCATGTAGAGACCAGTCTGCTCACTTGGTTGAGCGCGGTGCGGGCGCGACACCGAGGGTTGTGATCCCGTTACCGGTCACGAAAAAAGACAAAAAGGAAAATAAATTAATTAATTAAATAAAATAAAAATAAAAATAAATAAATAAAATAAAATTTTGTTGAAAGCAAAGACTGGAACTTGTGTGACAAAGCGTCCAAGAATCATTTACTTCTTCAACAAACTGTTCCTTTGTATGACACTCCAGATATTTTTCCACCCCAGAGTGATGCACCATAGGTACAATTAAGGAGGAGATTAATGGAAGGTATGTCTTTCTTTCTAAAGTAGGAAAAGAACAATTGTGAACAAGGAGGAGAGAAAGAGAAACCTATAGGCCACAGGCCCATTCTCAAGCAGATTGATTGCAGGCAAGCATACAAATTGAAGTCAAGGATCTAGAAATTGATTTCCATTCAACAATCTGTGCCCACAGATGTTGCAGAAAGTGTTTGTGTACCCCCTCCACAAACTTCCTTTTGACAACTACCGCACTACAGCATTCTGGGCAGAAAATGGGCAAGCAAAGCATCAGAGGCCAGGAAGTACAGGAGGAATAAGAAAAGAACAGAGAAAACATTTTGACTTCAATGAATACATCTAAGGTTGAGATAGATATGGAAGGATGCACTGACATTCTGATATAGAGAATAATGATGAGCACTTATTATGTGCTAAGCAATTCACAGACATTATTATCTTGTTTAACCCTCACAATCTCCTTATGAGACAAGCATGCTGGAGAGCATCAGTGTGAAGAGGAGACAATCGGCATGCTCTCCTAACTTTCTCCAGTGCAGCCTCAGAGCAGGCTGGGAATCCAGGGAGATGTGTGTGGGCAAGATTGAGGAAGTGAGGGACTCAAATATTAGCCAGGACACAGTTGAGATGACTGAGTGGGACAGGGATGCAAATGAAGGGGGGTCGGGGGGGAGGAGTGGATGCCAACAGATGGAGGTTACAGAGGGGATGAAGAATGTGGTGGGTACACAGAACCAAGGGAAGGTATTCTGGAAATTGGGATGAGGTTTTATTTTGAAATGTCAAAATTTTTAACACATCAAAAATAATATCCTTCAAAACTATTAAAATTTATGATGAGAAATGGAAACATTTTGGATGTCAACTTACTAATGTGTAAGGGGCTACAAAGCTTTTCAAAATTATTTTATGGGTTATTTGAGCAAAAACATTTGCAGTAGTCTTGCTCTCTTTTCAGGAGATCTGACCTCACCGAAGAGCTCCAGGAGGGCACCTCAGTTGGGTTACCCCAGTCAAATAAATACCATATCCCTTGCAAGTGACTGGTTCAGAAACAGCAGGGATGCAGAGATCCCTCATTCAGGAAAAGACATATGCCTTCATCTGGGTCAATATCTTGAGGAAGTTTGCAGGAACTTCTGGGAATAGTTTCCTGCCATCCTGAGAGAACCACAGGAAGAGACTTCCATATACTGTGGCCTGGACCTGCCACTGCCAAGTCACTACCAGCTTGTGGATGAAGGCAGGCAGAGTAAGAAAATCAAGGGACAATGGAGCCAGGGCCACTGCTTTAAGTCATTCCTGAAACTGCTATCCCTCTTGATTTCCAATTATAAGAGCTTATATACTTGCATATTTTCAAGCCACAGACAAAAGCATCTTAACTGATACAAATGCTTTCCCCTAACTTCTGAAAGGCCAGGTCCTACCAAATAATATCTAGTACCAGGACCATCTCCTCCCCAAAATCTTCACTAATATCTGCAGAAAAGAGGTTCTCTCTTGGTGCTCTGAACCAGCATTTCACGAGACCTTTTCTCACCTCTTTCTTTGTGCTATAATTATCACGTCACTTCCTATTTATTGTTCCCCAAGGCCTACAGAATAAAAACTTCTTCACATGGCTCATATTCCCTCATGGTGAAGCCTGTTTGCTTTCCCCATCTTCTGTCCCACACTCTCCAATAACTGCTGAAAGCTGCAGTTACGCTCAGTGTCCTGCAGTTCAAACACTTCCTATTCTTTAAAGCTTCCTTGCCTTTGAGAACAAGTTATTCCCACTTCCGGGAATACTTTTGCCCACCTTTTACACTCAAATATCTCCAAAACTCAGCTCAAGCATGGACAGTCCTCTCCATTTCCTTCCCTGGCCCCAGGGTCATAAGACTGATACTCCTTCATCTTGTAGTAATTACTCCGTTGTACTGTTAGTTTACTTTCATGTCTGTTTTCTTCTCTAGACCATGAGCAAGGATGATCTTCTATTCATCTTTGTATTCCCAGTGGCCCAGCACATTTCGGATACCTGGTAAATATCTGTGAAGTGAATTTGTGTAAATGTCTTATCTACATAACGAATCTGCCATACTCTTGAGAGCTGACTGGATATTTCATTCATCTTTGCATCTAAAGAACCTAGAACAGTGTCTGACACGTAGCTGGTGTCAATAACTATTTGTAAAAATAAGTTCCTTCTCCCAATCTGGATGGTTCTTAGTCTAAGGCACCGTTATCCTCCTTTCCTCTGTCCTCCCTCTGGTACCCACAATCAAGAGGGCTCTATCAACTCTGCGCTCAAACCTGTTCTTTCCATAACTAATCCTCATTAGCCAATATGCTGTCTGTCAGCACAGGGCGCACACAGTCTGCCCCGGGAGCCTTAAGTTTTTGACCCCGCCCGCCATTTCGTCGCAGCGCTTTACTTGGGGTGGAATGTCAGAGAAAACCACAGCTCCCATCGTTCCCCAGGTCGGGACCGAGGAGGTGTCCCTGCGTCTCCCGCCCCCGCGACTGACAGGCAGCGAACCAGAGCAGGAACAGTCCCCGGCAGTGTCCAGTCCCACCCTCTCTGTGTGCAGGTGGGGAAATGCAAGCCCGGGGGAGGAGGGCATAAAGTCCAAGGTCACAAGGAGACCCGTGTCAGGAACGGGCCTAAACGTGGGGTTTCCGCTCCTCTCGCGGGCCGGGAAGTCGGGAGCCCAGCGCCCTCCTCCCCCCAGGGGTGACGGAACGAGGTCTCACCGCAGGCCGCCACCGCCCCACGCTCCCTCGGCTCGGGCTCCCGGCGCCGCTCGGCCGCTCGCACAGCTCCCGCAGCTGTTGTCTCGGTGTCACGGGCGACGGGCACCGGCCACTTCCGCTCCCCGGCGGCACTCCAGCCAATCAGCGCGCGCTGCACTCCGCTGGAGGAGCAGGTGGTCAGCACGCCGACGCCTCCTCGCCGTTGCCCCTCAACCTTTCTGCGGCTCTCGCCCTAGCCCAATCCCCATGTCGCCGACGCTTGCCGAGTCGGCTCCCTGGAATGGCGCCGTGCACCGGGCGATGCCCACTTGAGCCCCAGGACCACTGACAAGCGGGGTCCTCCGGGTTTCCTAGAACGGCTCCAGGGATGCACTTCCGCCCGGTGACCTGCCGCTCTGCGCGCTGTGCCGCTCCCCAAGCATTGATCTGGGCTGGAGAAACTGGGAATCCGCGCCGCCTTCCCGCGGGGATGGTTCGCAGGCCTCCTTTACCGCCCCGACCCGCTTCCCTCTTATCCCGTCGCTCCCTTTCCCGAGATCCGTGAGTCTGGTAAACACAGGTCTGCAGATCCTCAGAACAGGCCAGTGATCTGCTGGGGGCAAAGGGACACCCGCTCTGAGGTCAAGGAGGGCTTGAAGGAGTGAGGCTTGGGCTGAAATCTGAAGGGTGGGCGGGAATGACCAAGGTTAAGAGTAAGGGGAAGGGCTGGCTGGTTAGTGTAGTTGGTTAGACCGCGGTGTTATAACACCAGGGTCACGGGTTCGCAATCCTGAACCCGACAGCAGTCAAAAAAGAGAGAGAGAAATGGGGGCAGCGGTTCAGGCCATGGAAACAGCATCCTACACTGGTCTTCTTATCTGCCTTCAACAAGCGAGGCCCCGTTCTCGCCTCAGAACCTTTGTGTTTCTTCCATCCTCTGCTCTTCCTCCATAACTTTGCACAACAAGCTTTTTGTTTTTCAGGTCGCAGTTCAAAGACCACTACGTCGAAGAAGGATTTCATCATATGTAACGTTGCCTCAAACTACGTCATCCCTCCCAAATATCAGTCACAGGGAAGGACTGTGATTGGCCCTGTTTGGGTCTGGTGCTCACCCCTGGACCAATCAGGGAGAGAGAGTGTGTGTGATTAGCCAGGTCCGGGTCACCTGTCTGCCTCAGTGGTGAGGGCGGGTTTCTGTGTTTGCATCACCGTAATCCTGTGAAATAGGGAAAGGAGTGACTACCCTGAGAAAGGGATATTGTGTATATATCCAATACACAACCTAGCAGAAGGGAAAACTTTCTCTTCAGTTTATGATTGGAATTAGGCCCTAGACGCTAGGGTGCATCACTTTAGCCACTCACACCAGTATTCTGAACTCCTTTGCCCTACTATCTGCAACTGCCTGGGAAGTTTGTTAACCCTAATTCAGTCAAAATGTCCATTTTCTTTGCTCAGGCTGCTAACAACGAGTGGGAAGAATCACACATTTTGGAGAAGAGCCCCAAGATAATGTTATGGTCTCCGTTTTGCAGAGGTCTTTGACTTATGTCCAGTAACCACTGTTTCCCAGTCAGCATGTTTACCATTTTCCATAATTGCCATTTCAACCTTCTTCACTTTGCTCGAACCTTTCTCCAAGCCGTAATCCAAGAGGAGTCAATTACCATCATAATCACTGCAGCCACATTCATCCAAAGGAAAGATGCCCATAGGATGAAAGTATCCTGCCTCAGAAACAAAGGTGGAAGGCATTTAGTTCTACTGACTTTTATCTAGTACACCTGCATTAATGGACATCTGCCTCAAGAGCCTAAATCAGTGATTCTTAACTTTGGCTGCACGTTGGAATCACTTGGGAATTTTTATTTTATTTTATTTTTTTAAAAGATGATCAGTAAGGGGGTCTTAACCCTTGACTTGGCGTTATAAGCACCACACTCTCCCAAGTGAGCCACATGGGCCGGCCCCTGGGAATTTTTTAAAATACTGATATCTGGTGCTACCCACATAGGTTCTCTTGAAATTGATCTGAGATATGACCTAGGCATGGGTTGGTGTTTTGTTTCGTTATGTCTTTAACTTTCCAGGTAATTCTAACTACAACCAAGGTTGCAAACCAATAGCTTAGGCCAGTGGTTCTCAAAGTGTGGTCTCTGAACCAACAGCATTAGCATCACTTGGGAACTTGTTAGAAATGAAATTCTCGGGCCGGCCTGTGGCTCACTCGGTAGAGTGCGGTGCTGGTAGCACCAAGGCCACAGGTTCGGATCCCATATAGGGATGGCCGGTTAGCTCACTGGTTGAGCGTGGTGCTGACAACACCAAGTCAAGGGTTGAGATCCCCTTACCGGTCATCTTTAAAAAAAAAAAAATTAAAAAAAAAAAAAAAGAAATGAAATTCTCAGGCCGCACCCACAGATCTCCTGAATCAGAAACTCTGTGGTTGGAGCTCAGCAATCAGTGTTTTAACAAGCCGTTCAGGGTTCCGATGCACATTAAAGTTTGGGAATCATCGGCCCAGGCATTAATGATGCTTCCCTCGATCAGTCTTCATATGTGGGTTAGAAAGGAAAAGGATAAGCTGTCTCCTGGCTACTTCCCTGCCCACCATCTGCTTTATTACACTAGCCAACTTAGGAGCCATCTGGAGCAATGGGAATCCACTGAGGGAAGGAGGCCAGGGCATATGGTCCATAAATACTATTCCCATATTCAGCATGCATGAGGATGTGTATGACTGGGTGGGAACTGATGCTTCTTGGTCTACTAATGGGCATGGTACATCCATAGAATTGAGTTTATAGGTAAATATAAGGGGTTTTGTTCTTGGAAGAGAGAAAAAAAAGGAGGTAGCAACCTTGACCACACTTCTGAATTCACACAAGGACAGGCACATGGAAAATAAAAGACGTATCACTCTTATTCACCCTTATCCCTTCTCTGCTTTGTGTGGAAGACGTGGGAAGGCGGGCTACAAGGACTGGCTGCACTCCTTTCTTATACTTTAAAAGTACGTCATCACTCAAATTAGTTTACAACTCTTATTTAGGCCTAGTGCTGTTCATAATTATATTTTCAGTTATCTATGGGCCACATTCCAAGTATTAGCAAATTATTAGTATCTGTAGTCACTGTCCTTTCAGACTTAAATAACATTGTAAGTGTAAGTTACTCTTAGGATTCTGAAAGAAATGGCCAAAAGATTTGCACCACCTTGTAAACCTTCAGGTCTTTTTAAATCCCCTCTCCCACGGGCATATAACCTGTGGACAATCTAACAATCTAACATAAGGATGCTAGCTTGGATAGCTTTCTCTCCCTGTTATCTGCTCTTCTTCCCAGCTCCCCACATCTACTTATTTATCATTGTCACCTTCCTCTTTGCTCCTGCCTTCCTTCTTTTAACTAGGCCAGCATCACAGAACATCCTATACATCCGAAGACTCAGTGTGACAAAATGCACTTGCCTTACATGACAACCATTTCCAGGACTTCCTTAGTTTTCCTACAGGAGGCCTCAGCAGTGCTGGGCCCTGTTCAATCAAAACTTGCTGAACCGAAATACTACAATCTCACCTCTACACATTAAAGTGACTGGTTAAAGCTGAATCAAGGCTCAATGAAGTCCTCAGTGTTCCCCCTCACACCTCCAGCTATGAAGATGTGAGTAAGTGAAGCAAAAGGGCAGCTTCCCACTCTAGAGTTAACAATTACACCAGAGCAACCAATTCTGAACCTGCCTGGCAAGGTCATGTTTTTACTGTGCTTGGATAGCAGATCCTTCCTTCTTGGGCAAGTTCTCTAATGTTCCCTTGGGGTCCTTTAAGGTCCATATTTCTTTTGGGTGAAACCACTGCCCCTTTGACATGGGGTAAAATGCAGCGACATCCTGAAATCTCAGCCTCCCAATAACCGCTTCATGGTTTGATGCCGTGAGAGAAGAAACAGAGAAGAGAAGGCTGCCCTAGTAGAGGGATCAGGGCTGGGCTTCGAGAAGGTGAGCGGGAAGTGGTGGGAGAGGTTGCATTGGAACTTGACAACAGCAGAGGATACAAAGGAACAAGTGATCAGAGGACAAAGCAGAAGAAAGCTGTCCCCCAGCATAGGAGGCTCATCTCCAGGGCTCTGGAGTCCTCACAAGGTCAGCAAAACAGTCAACACACTTGCCACCACTGAGCCATGCATGATAATGCTCTTGCCCACCAATCCCTGAGTCTGCCTTCCAACCCCACTCATCACAAGGCTCCAGGCAACTGCTACTAATTAGTCTGAATTCACACATGAGTGAAATGATTTGCCATCCCAGGCTCAAGGCAGTCCCACACGAATTTTGCAGAGGCTCTTTTTTTTTTTTTTTTTTTTTTGAGAAAATAACTTGAGAGGAAAATCAAGTCTCAGTGTCTCCCACATCACAGGGACATATAAGCTCCCAGTGTGATTAGAGAAAAATTAAGGCTGCCAAAGCAACTCCTGACTCTATTTTTTAATTAGTTTATTTATTTTTAAAGTGATAAATAAAAGATGTGTATATTTATTACATACAAAATCATGTTTGAAGTAGGAGGGGTCTTCAAAGGTTCACCGAAAGATGCATTTTTTTATCATGTTTTTCCATGAACTTTTTTTTTTTTTTTTTTTTTTTTTTTTTTTTTTTTTTTTCCTTGATTTTTTTTTTTTTTTTTTTTTTCCTTGATTTTTTTTTTTTTTTTTTTTTTCCTTGATTTTTTTTTTTTTTTTTTTTTTCCTTGATTTTTTTTTTTTTTTTTTTTTTCCTTGATTTTTTTTTTTTTTTTTTTTTTCCTTGATTTTTTTTTTTTTTTTTTTTTTCGTGTCCGGCAACGGATCGCAACCCTCAGTGTTGCCCCCGTACCGGACCGGGGACCGGCAACGGGATTGCAACCCTCGGTGTTGCTCCCGCGCCTCGCTCAGCCAGTGAGCGGGAACCGGTCTGTATGTGGGATCCGAACCCTCGGGCGGGAGCGCCGCCACACTTCCCAAGTGGCGCACCATCCAGTGCGCCACCGGGCTGGCCCCATGAACTTTTTTTTTTTGGCGCCTGGTTGGTACAGGGATATTGAACCCTGGACCTTGGTGTTAGCACCACACTCTAACCA